ACACACACACACACACACACGTACACACACGTACACACACACGTACACACACACACACACACACACACGTACACACTTTGGTTTCTAAAGGCTGTTCATGAGCAGGAACCATCCCAAAGGTCATAGATCATAGAATCCCTACAGTGTGGAAACGGGCCCTTCGGCCCAACAAGTCCACACCGACCCTTGGAACATCCCACCCAGACCCATCCCCCTATAACCCACCTAATCTACACATCCCTGAACACTACGGGCAATTTAGCATGGCCAATCTACCCACCCTGCACATCTTTGGATTGTGGGAGGAAACCCACGCAGACGTGGGGAGAATGTGCAAATTTCACACAGACAGTCGCCCGAGGGTGGAATCGAACCCGGGTCCCTGATGCTGTGAGGCTGCAGGGCTAGCCACTGAGCCACCATGCCACCCCAAATTACAATTAGGTATTAGGTATTACAATTATCTGCTGACAAGGACCCTCATTGCACAGTTGATCAGCTCACTTAAAATACATCTTTGATGGCTGGAATGCTTGAGTGATACCCTGCAATATCCACCTGTCACAGTTTCTAACAATATCATGATGGCTACTAACATGTCCAGAAAGCAACTCTTCAGAAAGTAGTGACAAAAGATGGTGGAATGTCCTCAGAACAAGAGGATGAGCAGGACATGGGAACAGATGAAACTTTGGATGAAGAAGGGAAGCCTTCTACTATGCAAGAATGGCTGGGTGGCCATACAGTTAGCCAGAGCAATGGTGTCACAATGAGGTTTGTCAAGAAACCATTACTGCAAGGCACCATTTGATTCAGCAAAGGTTTGAATATCCCCACACATATTGGAATTCTTTCAATGGAAAATATTCCACAAAGAATACAATTTCAACACTTCAACTTTTAACTGCTGGCTCTATTCAATCTCAATCACCAACTCTGGCTACCAAACTGTGGTCCCCAAATTTGTTGAGTACTTGTTAATTTTCCAAAATTAATTTTGAATTATATCAGTTTCATTTACAAAGCACTCGATAGTTGTCATGTTAGTTAATGAAAAGAGAAAAACACTAATGTTTCAAAAGTACTAACGTTCAGCTATTATATATACATATAGGATTTGTACTGACATATTTACAAAAAAATTAAAAGCAACTTTAAAAAGGCATAAATTACCTCACTTCAGTCGAATCTCCTTTCTCAATTAAAATAATCTTTTCCCTCCTTAATTCTTTTCCCGGTAAAGCAGAACATTCAGTAGCAGATGGTTTGGGATAAATCTGTTCTGCCACCTTTTCACTTTCACTCAAATCTTCATGTGAAATGTTGGCCTCCCTCACAGAGAACTGGGATGCAGTGCTCTCAGTCTCACTGTCGCTTAGCTCGTCTGTAGATACAGTTCTTTTCGAATACGTTATAACATTTATTTCTGAAGACCTATGATGCATGGCATCATAGTCAGTCTCAGATTCTTCAGTGTTATCTGCACTGGTTTCATTAGAAACGAGATTCGTTGCCATCAGCTCTTTAATTGAATGCTCTGAACCAGATTCACTCATTTCTGTCCTACTAGGATATTCCTCAGGTGAGGTATCTGACAGTTCATTTAAATCTATTATTTTTCCACTCTGTTGATCTTTAGTTGGTTTCTCATCCAAAGGTGCCCCAACTTGATTTTGATCATTGTTCCCTATAAACTGGGCATCAGGGGCATTGTATGCTGAAGGTAAGCTACCAGAAAATCTCTCAGAGTTACTTGTTTCATTTCCACTGATTCTTGGTTGAATTGCAGCTGAAGGAAGTGTTGAGAAATCATCTTCTTCAAAATCTTTTTTTATAATATCTGTATTCAGATCTACGGCCAGACTTTTAGTTTGCTGGCTATTTGGCACTTCTTCACAAGGTCTTTTGCTTCCAGCTACAATTATATAGTCCATTTCTCCTGTGTCATGGTCTTTATCAGATGTCACGCTAAAATTATTGGTGCCAAGTTCACTTGAGTTCACCTGGGTTTGGCAATTACCCACCTTGTCAACTTCTGGTGAACCGTTACCAATCTCAATACAGGAAACTGGAGAGCTGAGTGAAGAAACCAAGGAACTGTACTGGTTATCAAACCTTTGTTCCAAAAGGGGAACACTTCTTTTGCTACAGGGGTCTGACAATTGCTCTGCAGTTTCCACTCTTACTTCACTTCCTGCCATCTCTTTATGCCTTTCTGTTGCAATAGCACTCTCAGAAACAGAAACATGTGAAAATCCTTCAGGAACTACACTACAATCCTGGGGACTAAGGTCTTCCCAAAAGTCTGATTTATGGATACTAGATGATAAGCTACAGGAAGTCTCGTTGCTGCTATTGCTGCTATTTGCATTTCCAAATGAAAGCCATGCACTTTCTAGAACGTTTTGCACCACTTGCTCTGTTTCCATATTACTTTGGTTTGACATATCAGTGTTAGGCTGTGCTACAGTACCATCTGCTGGTGGAAACATATTTGCGTCTTCTGTAACCTTTGTTGAAGTTTTCAGTGAATCTGGTTGACTTACAGATTCACAAGCACCATGGACAAATGCATCTTCAAATACGTCTGATTTAGTGTCTCTATTAAAACTTTGAACTTCAGGACGAGTTGGCTGAGATCCCTCATCACTAATTTTGTGTGTTTTCTGTCTTGTAACCAATTCATCTTTCATGATTTTGGAAGCACGGATACTTGGAGATGAAATCGTATCATTCAAATGAGTGGCCTCTGTTACTGTCTGAGAAAAATCTCTCAGTGGTTCCATATTCAAAATATTTTCTTCTGATACAGAGAAGTATTCCATCATTTCTGGATCATATATATCTGTGTCTAGACTATAGCTAGAAGTAGCAGAAGTAAAATAGTCATCTGCACATCTGGATTTTGAAAAAAGGCGTTCATTTTCTCTTATCCCATCATTTTTACTATATGAATTATTGTCTTGGTAAAGATTAGAACGATTGTCTTTTGAAATACTGCCCTGTTGCTCTTTAGTTAGCAGGAATGAATCTAAGCTTTCATCCTGTAGAGGTACAGGCGGCATATCATGTGTTTTCTTTATACACAAAACATTGTCTTCAGCACCTGAGACTTCAAACTGCTTAGTTTCTCCCCATGAAATGTCATTTTCACAAAGTAATGCACTATCCCCAGTAACAGGAATTTCTTCCACTGGATGTTGCAAATTTTCTTCGTGAGCTACAATGTCTCTGTCCTGTGTAAATTTATGATTTTCTAAATCATAATAACGTATTCTCTCTTGATATTTACCCTGTGAATCTGGATCTTTTCTGACTGTTTCAGCAGCATCTTCTCCGAACTGAATCCAAGCATCTGGACGAACAAAAAAATGTTGCTCATCTTCTTGTACAGAATCAAACTTGGTTTGATTTAATTCTGTCAGATCTTTATTTTTATCAAATGTTTGTTTTGCTGTAACAAAATCTTCTCCTGATTCAATGCAACCATCAGCATGTTTTGTTTCCTTCTGGTTGTTTAATTGTACTTTACATGACTGTGCATCCACAGCAACTAAGGGTGAATGGTTTGCTTGTTGCACTAATTCACTATGTACATACTGATATTGATCATTGAGAGAAGGTTCAGCCCACTTACATGAAGCAACATTGTCTGATATTGATAGGCATGACTGCTGTCCAGTTACATCCATTATATCAGGAAGTTCAGTCTTCAGTTCAGCAGGTTTTCCTTCTGACTCCATCCACATATCTGGATTTCCCAATTCTTGCTTTTCTGCCTCAACCAATTCATTCCATCTATCAGGGCTGTTTGGAGTTGAATTACTGGAATCTAATTCATGATCATTCAAAATATCAGGATTTACAGTAGTTGTATCAAAAAACAAATGATCAGATTTAGCCCACAAATCAGGATTCGCTGAAGAAATCTGATGTGCATCTTGGTGATAGTCATTGACAATATCAGGAGCATTTTCATCTTGTTCGACTAACTCCTGCTCAAATTCAGTACATGCATCATTACTAGTGGGCAGCAACTCGGGAAATTCATATTTTGAGTCTATCCAAGTGTCGGGAATTTCAGTGCAAGAATGGTTATACTCATCTGCTACAGGTTGGTTAGAATCAAGTGCATTTGATTGCTCTTGTTCAAACCTTTTCGAAGTAGGGAAGTCGGTTGTTGCCTGGATAAACTCAAAGTCAGAGTCGTGAAAATTATCAGCATTCTTTACAGCTTGTAGTTTGTCTTCTTCCATTGGTTTTCTGTAGATATCAGTGCCTGCTGGATAATCTCGTGGTATTTCAGAGGCTAACAATTGGCGACCCTGTTCTTTACAATGTATATCAAGAATGTTGAGCACTGGCTGTTCTGTTTTCTGTCTAGATATTTCCCAATTTTCTTCTAGGTCAGAATAAGAAAGTTCTTCACATTTGCTCTGTGAATTTGAAAATTTTTCATTCAGCTCAGAACCTTCCTGTTGTAACAGATTCCATGTCTGAGGAGCTGAAGAGGTTTGCTGGTTCTCCATTTCTACCATTTCAAGATCAGAGGATCTGGAGAATTTATAGTCTGGTAATCTCTCTTCAATTTCATAATCATGGCCTACGTTAGGCTGTCTTGCAGTGAGCTGACTGACTTCCTGCACTTGATTGAACTGGAGTTCTTGACTTACGAATGTGGATTCATTAGTATCCTCTTCAAAAACACTCCATGGATGATGTATCCCTGTCGAAAGTTGGCTGCTCTCTTGTGTATATCCGTCTTCTGTGTATGGATTTTCAGTTGTAGAATATCTATTATTCAGATCTAAATTTACCATTTTATCTAAAGTTTCTGCACTTTGTTGACTGATCTTCTCAATATATTTGTCACTTCCCTCTAGACTTTCAAAAGGTGAATTGCTGCAATGTTCAAATTCATCCCATATAACTGAAGTATTTGGAGATGTTTGTTTGCATTCTCCTGGGTTCAATGACTCTACCATTTCAAATGTTGCCTGATTGCGACTAATTGTAGCTTGCTGTCCTTCCTGCATATATTCAGTGCTTGGAGTGGTATTTTCAAATATTGGCTGAGTAATAGCTTGCTCTGTTTCATTCCCTTCCTGACTTGCCTGATTAATGCTGTTTATTTGCTTACTCAATAGATTAGAATTACTCAATTGTGACCTTTCGGGATTATGTAGAGCAATATTCCATATTTCAGCGTTATTTTCCTGGAAATGTTCATCCCATAAATCTGTATTTTCAAAGGTTAACTGCCTTTTCTCCTGTTCAGGACTAAACTCTAGATCATGCTTACATGTAGTCGGGGGGACATGCTTTGCCATCCTTAATTTTTCACTTTCAGAGGTTAAATTGCTGGGTTTGAGGTCAAATGTATCGAAAATTTCACCAGTCAACTGGGTTTTATTTGTGGATTCATTCCCTATAATTGAATTTACAGCAACTGGCAAATTAATCTCCAGTTCAGAATCACTTAACGTTGTGGGCATTTGTGATGCAAAGAGTTGAGAATCTTCTATAGACTCTGCGCAGGTATCTGGGCTTTCAGTGTTTAATTGTTGGATTTTATGCTCGAAATCCTTTGAAATATCTGGAAGTTTTCCATGAGGTCGTATAACTTCATGCACTGGTTCACTCCAAATAAATGTATTTTCTACTGCTGCTGTACACTGCTTCTGTTCAGAACCTATATGTGAACTGTCTATGCCTTGCTGTTTGTCCTGTTGAACTGGTAATGTTGTTGTGTTTAGCGATTTGGGTACAATTAAATTTTTGGTTCTAAATTTGTAACAGGGATCAAAATTATCAATACCTGACAAATTTGCATCTGTCACAGATTTGCTCCAGTTGTTAGAAGTGTTCGAGATCAATTGAGTTTTGTCTAATTCATCACATGTGTCGGCTTTAGCAGAGGTTGATTGGAAAATGCTTCGTTCAGTTATATTCCACTGATCATCAACATTTTTCATAACTGATTGCTTAGACTGCCTATCAATTTCACTCCAGATATCACAATGGGTAACATTAGATTGACTGAATTCCTGATCAAAATCTGTCCAAAAATCAGGAGATTGCTCAAGTACATTTAGTTTATTTTGGTTTTCATTCCAGGTATCTTTTGGGCTGGGCACATTCTGTTTCACACTAATTTCAATATCTTTCTGTTCTCCTGTACGCATAGAATCTGACTGATCAGAGTCAAGAATAACAATTTCGTTCATTTTGTCGATGACATCTGCAAAAATATTATGAGGCCCTTCAACCAGGGGTGAGCCATCTACAAGACTGTTCATGGGTGTTGGGGGGACATTCTTATCTTCAATTTGTGATCCAATTATATCATCAGAAAGGTTTTGAGGAAGTAAAGAAATATTAGCCACATGGGATCTAACAACTTGTTGCAGCATTTGATCTTCTCCTGACTTATCACTGGCACTTTCTTGTTTGTAAACATGAACATCCTCTGCTTTTACCAGGTCAGCTTCTGGACTGGTTTCTTTTGATATCTCTGTAGAAGGCTTAGACCAATTACAATTTAGTGGAACGTCTTCCACAATATTTTTTTGAGGGGTGGAATCTAACTTTGACAACAACTCTTCATTATTTCCTGTAACATCAGCATGAGTGTCAGTACAATGTGATGGATCAAGGACAGACAAATCAAAATTATCATTCATACTGACGATTGATGCAATCTTTTCCTCTGCTAATTCATCTTCAGGCAGCGAACCAAACATATCATATCCATGTACGACGCTAGAGGGTGGCACAACTGCTTCTCGTATTGGGCTTTCATCACTGAGAAAAACAGAACTTTCTTTAGATGACCGATTGCTTCGGATAGTGGCCAATCCGCTGTCTGGACTCATTAGGTCTAAATTGCCATCGCCATGGGCCTGCAATGAAGAGTTCAAATTCTGAGAATTTTCCAATGAATTATCACCAATATATTCAGTATTCTGGGAATCTACATCAGGACCAGATAAGTCTAGAGCACCAGACGATCCTTCTGAAACTGGAGCACTGCCATTGACAGCTTCAGTGGAAGAAGTTCTCCTGTTCATTACCATTTCTTGTTGTCGCCTATAGATACAGTCTTTGATCAGTGGGAGCATTTGCTTGCATGAAACTGAAGAGCTCCCTTGCTGATAGGCTCTGATTTCCTGCAACCCATATTCTATGGGCAATAGCTGTAGACATGGACTCTGACACTCCTCTAAAGTATTGCATATCTGTCAAACAATGAAAATATTGATTAACACTTGATTTTAATGAACCTATCTAGTATAATTTGTTAAACAATTGCTGTTAGTATAACAGGTCGGAACATTAGATCTCCATTTTCTGGAACTTAGAAGTTATATTTTGCTATTTAATTCATGTATTGTGCCATTCCAATCAGAAAACAAAGTTGTTACATAAAAACAGAAACAGAACAGCTATTTTTCTTTATAGTTTGAGAAACAAAAAATAAACCCCTATAAAACAAAAATCAAAATCACATGTATAAAATGAATGATGAAACAGATAAATATAGTCACCACTAATATTCCGGACCAGAAAGCAGAATTTTGGTCTTTTATATGAACACAGAAATTTCAACAATGTCAATTGATTTGGTGCCAAGTTTAAATATTACTCCAAGTAATCAATGTCCACCCAACAAATTCTTCAGAATATTTTTATTCATTCAAAGGGCATACGCATTGTTGGAAAGTCAGGAATTATTTGCCCATTTCCAACTGTCCAAGGTGATAGTGAGCAGCTTCCCTGAACTGCTACAGTCCACATCATGTAGATTCACCTACAGAGTTGCTAGACTGCAAGTTCCAGGATTTTTAACCCAACTACAATGAAGTATCAGTGATATATTTCCAAGTCAAGATGGGAGTGACATTTGGACAGGAATCTGCAGGTGTTAGATTGATGCCTATGTCTTTTTATGCTAAACAGCTCTTGGTTTTAGAAGGTGCTGTTGAAAATATTTTACCATGGAGCTGCAGTGCATCTTGTAGATCGTACACACCTCAGCAGACAGGAATGTTAGGCATCTTGAGTGTTGTTAGACACACATTCATTCAGACAAAAGACAGTGTGCCATAATACTTCTGATTTGTACCTTATAGATAGAGGAGTGACTGTCAGGAGTCAGATAGTGTGTGTTATTCGCCACCCAAGTTACCGCATTTCATCCTTTGTTTCCAGATTTTGGCTCACAAGAACTATAGAACAGCCAGCTTCTGACCTACTTTTATACCCTCAGTGTTGATATAGCTGCTTTCATTGAGTTTTGGTCAATGGTGGTCCCCAGAACTTTGCTGGAGGTTGATTCAGTGATGTTAATACAATCGAATGTTGACAAGACATGGTTAGATTCTGTCTTGTTGAAAACATTCTAGAACTAGCATTTGTTGCATGAATGTTACTTAATCAACCCAACACTGAATGTTATACATGTCTTGCTGCATGCAATGTGAGAAGTTGGAAAGTCAGAAAGTCTTGCTTCAGATTGTGAGAAGTTGCAAATGAAACTGAATATTGTGCAATCATCAGCTAGCATCCCCATTTGTGACCGTACGGTAAAGGCAAGGTTAATGAAGAAGCTGAAGATTGTTGAAAGAAAGAAACTAGCTTTTCAAGACTAAGTGGTGCATTTTTAACATGATAGGAGAGAGATTTTTTAAAAAAGGCACAACAGACAATTTTGCGTTTACACAGAGGGTGGTTCGCATTTGGAATGAACTTCCTGATGAAGTGGTGGACGCGGCTACAATTATAACATTTAAAAAACAGGTTTGGATGGATATATGAATAGGAAAGATTTGGAAGGATATGTGCCGGGAGCAGGCAGATGGGACTCGTTTAGTTTGGAATTATGTTCAGCATGGACTGGTTGGACCGAAGGGTCTGTTTCTGTGCCGTGTGACTATGACTCTATAACTCTTGCAGCAATGTCCTGGAATTGAGGCTATTTGCTTCCAGCAACCAGATAAAATTTCCTTTCTATTAAATATGATCTCCTCTGAATGTATCCTACTTATCATGTTGGGAGAGCCTCATAATGCATTGTAAGGTGTCCTCAGTAAGAGAGTCAAAATTTCTACCAACATATGAAAAAGTGTTACAACTGTGACAGGAAGTACATGTGATAATCAAACCCCACTATCATCAAAAAGTTAAAGCAGGCTGGTGATGTTTTTATGAAATTAAAATAATCTGTTTATGATGAAAAATATGCTTAAAGCAAAAGACAGCTACTGAAAAGCACAGAAGCAATCACTCAATGAAAACAAGTCTCTGCAGAAATGATGGATTTTTTTTTAAAAAATAAGGGGCAAAAGGGAAAAATGCATTCTTGTGGGCCAAAATCTGGAAACAGTAACATTTGAGGATTTCTCACATCCACTGACTATCCTGTTAACGCAACTGAATTATTGACAACCATATAATCATGAAAGATGTCCACTTCTGATTCCAATCAACATGGATTCACGTTGTTGAAAATTTTTTTTTAAAACAGTCCACTGCTTCAAGTTATACCATGTAGACAGAAATATTGGTATTTGAAAACTCTTAAGTTCATAGGAATGTCTTCCTAAAAACAAAACACATTCTTTGCTCCCTGACTTCTGGGTCTGCAAAAAAACAGAATTGTAGGCATGACAGCGTTGCTAGGAGACCAATAAAATGGGCTCCTAAACATCTCAAAGACAGTTTCCTTTCCAGTAATTATGGCTAGAAACCCCATGTCTCATCTCCTTGTACACTATGCTTATCCACTTTTCCAAATTCATTTGATTTCGTTAAGAATAGCAAGTGGCTTCGAGCATGCATTAAACTTTTGACTTCATGAATTAGTTAAGTGTGTCAAGCCCCAAGTACTGTTGGACATAATTCCAGGAAATCACTGTATCCTTTGCAAGTAAGAGAATGTTCAAATAATTCCATCTCGTTCTAACTTCCTTCAAACAGTCTAGAATTATTCACAACAAAAGCTGCGTCAAGTGCAACTGAGCCTCTCCTGGGGATGGAAGTTGAAGTTCCTGTCAGAGTACATTCTTTCTATACTCAGTACTTTGTCCAGAGGTGTTTTATATGTAGTTTCAAAGAGTCATCAGTTGAGGGGAGGAGGGTAGAAGTTCAGTGGCAATTAGAAAAATGTTTGGTTGCCTACAATTAACTTGTTGCCACAAGTCACCATGGGATGCGGTGTAAGTTTTGAAGACACCCAGGGCCAGAACCTCCTGACTTTACAGCACTTTCTGTCACGTCTGCTTGGTTTGTTCTGCCACAGAACATAATCAGTGATAGTGATGGATATGATTCAGTGAAGCTTGTTATGTTATATTGGCCAAGCAGCAGTCTATGAAACAGCTCTCATAATTTTGACACAAATCCCTTTATGTTAGCGAGATTAACTTTGCAGGGTCAACCGGGCAGGTGTGCCTTTATCACGTCTGAACCTGATGCCTAAGTCAGTGCAGATAATTGATCAACTTTATTGCTATTTGACATTTTCATAACAACCATATACAACTAGCTTGTTAGTGCAGTTACAAGACAGGCACATTGTTGCGGTTCTGGAGTCACATGTAGGTCAGGTGGGCTAATGACTGCAGATTTCATTCCTTAAATGTCATGAGTGAACCAGAGGGCTTTTAGATATATATCTGGTAAATTCATAAAGATCACTTCGTATTAGCTTGTTATTCCAAATGTATTTAATTAACTGAAGTTGATGTCTCCAGCTGTTGTGGTGGAATTTGAATTCGTATTTCTGGATGTTTATTACTTCAGGTCTCGCGATTGTTAGTCCAGTATATATAAAGTCACTACCACACCTATAAAATGGGGATATGTGCATGGAAAACTGTCAGATCAGTGAAACACTTCAGTGGTTCCTGGGACCAGTTGATGGGGTAGAACATCTTGGCAGGTATATGGTGCTGAGTCTAAAATATGGGGCTGAATCTGGTGTTCTCTTAAAGATTAAGGATGCAAGGGATCTAAAACCTGGCAACCAACCTGCCTCAAATCTATAGCTTTAATGGAGGCTGGACAAGGGGCTGGCAATTAGTCCACTTACAGGAGTCTGGTTGGTCATTTGGGAATTACAAATGATGCACCATGTTTTTATTGTAAGTCATTCTGTTTTTATCCACAACTTCTCAGATCTTGGGAAACTCACCAGCTGAAAGAAGACAGGAGAAGTTGAACCTATGCATTTTACTGCACTGCTCATGGGGTCAGAAGGAGCAAGAATGTGTCTTCCAGGCTCAACCAGGCATCCAATAAATACCTTCACTTCAGTGAGTCATCAGCTCTCCCTGACGACATCCAACACTCTAAATAATCTTCATATTACTCCCAAATTCCAAGGATGGGCAAAGGATCCATGTCCCCACCTTCCCTCACAAAGGTCTCGCTCACTCCCACCACAGCCTGCAAACTGGCTTCCTGGCCAAAAGGCTTCAACTCTGTCCATCAGGCTACTTTTGAGTAGTAACACCACATAAAGCAATACTGCAGTTAAGTTCTGCATAGCATTGAGGGAACTCAGTATTCTGGGTTTCTGAACCTTGTAACAGCTTCCCTACTTAGCACCCATCTCCACATTAAAATTCAGGCCATGGCCTCAGAGATATTTCTTTCTATTTTCATTTCATCTCACATTTAAAGATAGAGGGGGCAAAAAATCTGAGAGACAGTAAAACCTGTTCAAGCATTTTTGGAGCAGTATACTGTACAAGACTAAAAAAACTTGTTAATAAAAGGTTTCCCCACTATTAGAGGCTGCCTTTATGCAGGGGGCACAAACTGGGGACATTTCATGTTATTTCCTGATATGAACTAATGCTTGTTTGCTACCAAATTATAGAGATTTTAGTGTAAACTAGAGTTTCTTTCTGAGAGCTCATGAGCATGGCTCATGGGACAACACAAGGAAATTCAGTCTAGTAAAATATGGAATAACTCAAATGTAAAGACCCTGTCTTTTTATTTCTCTGTATTTTTAATTTAGTGCTAAAATGAGCAAATAACTGTTTTAAAACCAAGAATTGCTGGAGGATTGTTTTATATTTTGTGTATTCAAATAACCTGGCACTCATTGTAAGTGCTGGTTGCACAGCTGTCTGTTCGAACCAGTGTTAAAGCGTGGTTGCAGGCAAACTGGAGCCAAAGTATTATACACAAATAGTGCTTTGGTTAGCAACAAATAGATGATTGGTTT